GCAGCATACAGCTGTGTTGTGCATTTTGACCAGTTGATGGGAAAAGTATTCTTAAAATGCATTCAAAATTCTGAATAATTTGTAATATATCATTATTCACGGTATTTAGAAGTGCCCACGATAACAATATCGTGCATATTCATTACCGTGATATATCGCATTACCGAATACCGGCACAAGTCTAATGCGTTGTGATACTCTCTAAAATGGTGACCTAGGGTGAAGCAGAAGAGACGAAGTGTTGAAATAAAGTTTTTGTTTTCTTTATGCACAAAGTATTATTGTAGCTTCGTAAAATTACGGTTGAACCACTGATGTCACTTGGACTATTTTACTGAAGTCCTTACTACATTTCTGTGCCTTGATCGTGGTAGTACCCTTGCTGTCTATGGCGGGTCAGAGAGCTCTCAGAATGCATAGCATGCAAAATATCTTAATTTATGTTCCGAAGATGAACGAAGGTCTTATGGGTTTGGAACGACATGAGGGTGAGTAATTAATGACAGAATTTTCATTTTTGGGTGAACTATCCCTTTAAATAAGTACATAGCCTACATTGTCTTTATGAGCAGGAAATGTGGACAAATGCTGCTTTCCAGAATGATAGTTAAGAAAATGTAAAATAATTACTAAATTTGTTTCATACAATCACAATAAAAACATTTATTTATTCAAGAAGCTTATTAAAAATGTAATGCAGTAATTTATATTCTTGTGTAGTAATGCTTTAAAATGTGTATTTTATACATCTAAATGTGTAATTCATGTGCAGGTCAATAGTAATCACAATTAACATTATATTTTATTGTTTCTGCTTATCTAGGGAAATTAATGTGCACAATAATTTTCATAGTTTTTCCTGTTATAGAGTTTCCTCTCCAAAAAGATCCTTCAGCAGCTGTTGGTTTGTGTTTCAGGTGTTTCTGCTGATGAGCGAAATCAAATGAAGAGAACGTCAGTGAAGGAGGGGGGATCTGTCACTTTAGATCCTGGAGTAATAAAAAACCCAAATGATGTGATGATGTGGTATTTTAATGGCACTCTTATGAATGAAATCGATGGAGATCCCATTAAGATCTGTGAAGATGTTCAGTGTACTGAGAGATTCAGAGACAGACTGAAGCTGGATCATCAGACTGGATCTCTGACCATCACAAACACCAGAACCACAGACTCTGGACTCTATCAACTAGAGATCAGCAGCCATCAATGTCATGGTCGCTGCACTGTCACCAGTATGGAGAACTTTCATGTTGATGTCATTGGTGAGCAGTTTGGGCATTTGTAAGGAAGAACCAGTTCACACCGCACCGACAGTCACTTCATCGGGTTTTTGTCCGATCAGTGTGTCACCCCTGTCAGTGTCTTTTGGCTTCTGTCAGATCTCATTTTTGCTGATTGATCATGCTGAATCGGCTCTTGTAAGGTCGTGGAATGTCTGAGAAATGACGTACTGTAATCTGGTGATTGTCCGTGTTGATCAATGTCTGTCAGTACGGTGTGAATTGGGTTTTACGCAGAGATGTAAAAACATCTTTTTATTATAGTATCTTGAAGACTTGGTACTGAATCACCAGTGCTTTTGGCATCACAGTATGAAGCTGTGTTCTACTTTAAACTGAATCAGATTTAGATTTACTCTCTCAGACCTTCTGATATCTCAGTGCTCGTTGTAGATTAGTCGACATATTCACTCAAACTAATGACTGTCAGTTTTGATCTGTTCCAGGTTCAGGTCGGTCTTCGGTTGTTAGAGGAGGAATAATTGGTAGTGTTCTGATGGCAGCTGTAGCTGCTGTTGGTTTGATTTACTATCGCTTTTGGATCTACAGAAATGGCAAATATCACCTACAGACACTATGGTGACCTCAAAACATTGTCTGCCTTGTGCTAAAATAGTGTGATTATTATTCAATGCAGACATGGAGAAAAACATGAAGGGATGGCTTTTGGATGAAGACCATGTATGAGGTGAGATACTGTATTACTGTAGTAAGTCTGTGTTGAAATGAGCATATCAATGGAATGAATTCTTTCAAACAGAATTCAGTTCACTAATAGATGACAGCTGTGCTGATTTCCTGAGTTTCTATCATTTTTAAATTATGCTGTTCCTTTCTCTCTCTTTATCTTCTGTGATTTATTGTTTTCTTACAGGACAAGAAAGATGGAGGTCCCATTTAATTAAATTGCCAAAAACATGTTTCTGCTTTTATAAACCAGAATGGGGAAATGGGCTTGTGTTTTTGAGCTGTAAAATTATGAAAAAATATAATATATTTTGTTAATTTATAAGGAAATGTATGTATATATAATCCAGGAGACTCAGCGGTCACCTTACCTGTTACTATTATGGTGTTTGCTTATGAACCAGAACTTGAGTGTATCGCAGGGATTGTCTTTAATTGCATTTGTGTAACACACCAAACACTATGTTGGATGTTGCTAGAATTATCTGTATTGATTTAACATCAGAACATGGAGAAATTTTTCAGCTGATCTTCCCTATGCATATACGTATATATGTGTGTGTACGTATATAGATGTTGCTGGAATTATCTGTACTGTTAAAGAACATAAAATAAACTTTAAAATATATAAGTTCTTGTTTATGTATATAATATATTTTATTTTCTGAGATGAACAACACTACCGATATTGATCTTGATCGTGATGATGATAATGTCATCATAAAAGACATTAAGTACCTAGTCTTATATCATTTTCTTTTTCCCTATTATCATGCACCTTTTTTGTTTCTTCAAAACAATGTTTGTGTTAATCAGCTCAGAGAATTTGAAATCCTGCCAGAAAAACACTTTCAGAGCCCGCTGGCTAATTAAAAAGTGGTAATCACTTTTGTATTGAATTTGAATGTTTCAAATGTTTGCATTATGAGCATATACTTTTTACTAATATATTTTAGTTTATTTTGATGACAATGTGAATGGATGTAACACATTTTGTGTTGATTTTAAATAAACTGTTTACATATACATTATCATTATTTGTCAATTATATTGACATTAAAAAGATTACATGGCAAGCATGTGTCAGTGTTATTTATTATCATTAATATTATATTGTTATTAATATTTTGAATGAGTTATTAGTATTTTCCATATTAAAGTTTTAATATATTTTTTTGTTTGTTATTTTCTTCTCAATCTGTCTATGTAGTTTTTTTTATTATTTAAGTTTTAGTCGGAGTAATTATTTTATTTTTAGTAAAGGTTAATGTTATTTAATTTCAAATCACAAAAATGTTTTAGTTGATAATAACCATAGCATGTAGGGACAGGCAGGGTGAGTTGAGCCAGTTTTAACTTGCAGTATGTTTAAAGAGAGCACATGTCAGTAATGGGTCCAACTGAAATATGTACATACATTTCAGGATGTGGTGCATCCTTGGGAATAATCACTCTGGATCTAACATAAACTGCTTTCAAAATATGGCTTTCCAAAAAACGACCTTACCTGTTACTATTATGGTGTTTGCTTATGAACCAGAACTTGAGTGTATCGCAGGGATTGTCTTTAATTGCATTTGTGTAACACACCAAACACTATGTTGGATGTTGCTAGAATTATCTGTATTGATTTAACATCAGAACATGGAGAAATTTTTCAGCTGATCTTCCCTATGCATATACGTATATATGTGTGTGTACGTATATAGATGTTGCTGGAATTATCTGTACTGTTAAAGAACATAAAATAAACTTTAAAATATATAAGTTCTTGTTTATGTATATAATATATTTTATTTTCTGAGATGAACAACACTACCGATATTGATCTTGATCGTGATGATGATAATGTCATCATAAAAGACATTAAGTACCTAGTCTTATATCATTTTCTTTTTCCCTATTATCATGCACCTTTTTTGTTTCTTCAAAACAATGTTTGTGTTAATCAGCTCAGAGAATTTGAAATCCTGCCAGAAAAACACTTTCAGAGCCCGCTGGCTAATTAAAAAGTGGTAATCACTTTTGTATTGAATTTGAATGTTTCAAATGTTTGCATTATGAGCATATACTTTTTACTAATATATTTTAGTTTATTTTGATGACAATGTGAATGGATGTAACACATTTTGTGTTGATTTTAAATAAACTGTTTACATATACATTATCATTATTTGTCAATTATATTGACATTAAAAAGATTACATGGCAAGCATGTGTCAGTGTTATTTATTATCATTAATATTATATTGTTATTAATATTTTGAATGAGTTATTAGTATTTTCCATATTAAAGTTTTAATATATTTTTTTGTTTGTTATTTTCTTCTCAATCTGTCTATGTAGTTTTTTTTATAATTTAAGTTTTAGTCGGAGTAATTATTTTATTTTTAGTAAAGGTTAATGTTATTTAATTTCAAATCACAAAAATGTTTTAGTTGATAATAACCATAGCCTGTAGGGACAAGCAGGGTGAGTTGAGCCAGTTTTAACTTGCAGTATGTTTAAAGAGAGCACATGTCAGTAATAGGTCCAACTGAAATATGTACATACATTTCAGGATGTGGTGCATCCTTGGGAATAATCACTCTGGATCTAACATAAACTGCTTTCAAAATATGGCTTTCCAAAAAACGGTGGTTTCTTGGCTCAACTTGCCCCCAGTGAGGGGTAAATTGAGCCACATGGAGTTAAACTGTGCCATTGATTATGCAGAAGTAAAACAACATTTTCACCTCATGCTACATCAAAGGAAGAGAAATGTAATAAAAATTACTTTGTAAAATCTATGTGTGACCTTACAGAACTGGGCTAATAGTACTCAACATCCTACTTATAAATGCTGCAGGAAAATACAATTTCATTAACAGGATGTGGTGCATCCTTGGGAATAATCACTCTGGATCTAACATAAACTGCTTTCAAAATATGGCTTTCCAAAAAACGGTGGTTTCTTGGCTCAACTTGCCCCCAGTGAGGGGTAAATTGAGCCACATGGAGTTAAACTGTGCCATTGATTATGCAGAAGTAAAACAAAATTTTCACCTCATGCTATATCAAAGGAAGAGAAATGTAATAAAAATGACTTTGTAAAATCTATGTGACCTTACAGAACTGGGCTAATAGTACTCAACGTCCTACTTATAAATGCTGCAGGAAAATACAATTTCATTAAAAAAACAACTTCAATGGCCAATCTTCATAAACAAGGCCTATTTATAATGTACAGAGCAAAATTGAGTTCAAAACAAAGAACAAAATCAAAAATGTTTGCTCTAAATTGAATGAAATATAATACGTTATAATCATAACCATTTTACAAAACTTGTATCATCCAGCAGTTTAGAGCTAGCATCATGCTAACATTATAGCCTCATCAGAGGTGTAACGTATTGGAGTAAATATAATTAGTTACTGTACTTGAGTATCCTTTCGGGTACTTT